TCATTCTAGAATGAAAAAGGCATAATTTATATTTATTTCCTAATTTTTTAACGTGATTACAGGATTGGTCAAACTGACCAAACCCGTACAGAAGTTTGTTACTGGAAATAACAGATAAAATATAAAGTTTTTACTTTAAAAACGTTTGATAACTATCTGGACATTAATAAGGATTTTGCAAGTGAAATTTGAAAACTTTCTGATGCACAAAAATATTTTTAATCTTAAAATGAAAATTACTTTGCATGTTGGATAGGCAACATGTGAAAAGAAAAAAAAGGCATGAGAAAAACTTTACTTTATAAACCTTAAGACTTAATAGAAAAAATTGATGCATATGAAAGCATTGTAATGTTTACTGATAATCTGCCAAATTTCGTTAGTATATGCTTAATAATTTAAACGTTATAGCATGAAACTATAACAAGCACAAAATGGTTACAAGGTCGGTCCCAGGGACCAGGCCCATGCTGAGAGAGATATGAACACAGCTGTAGTGGTGGTAAAATTATTGTAAAGGTCACAACCACTATATAACCATGTCGATTGACTTTGATAAGTGGATAGAGAGGTGTGAGCAACTTGGCTAAAAGATGGCAATCTACACAATCTTGTTAAACAATTTAACAACAAGCTCTATTGAGAGAAGAGTAACAGCAGAGAAGAGAGGAAGAAAAAAGAATAGGAGAGACTTGAAATAAGGAAATATAAGCAGAACCGAGATAGAAAAATAGGAGATAAAGGAGAGACTAGAAATAGAAAGAATAAGAGCACAAATTGAAAAGCTCACTCAACAGAAAGATGGAGGACCCAATAATGACAATAGGCTCAGGTCCAGCCGACCCAAGCTGCCCAAAAATGAGGAACAGAAAGATGACATGGATGCTTTCCTGGAGAATGTGAAATATTCACCCAAAGTAAGACCTGGGACAGGGGTGACTGGGCATTCTGTCTCAGCCCCCTACTAACAGGAAAAGGCCTACAAGTGTATACTGCCATGGACTATGAGAAGATAAAAGTGGCCTTGCTGAAGTGCTATGAACATATAGAGGAAGGTTTCATCGGAAGTTCAGAAAAGTCAAACCTGACACTGGAGAAACGGTATTTGTTTGTGGCACATCTATGGCGATACTTCACAATGTGGACTGACATAGCCAAGTGTGAAGACAGTTTTGAAAGATTGACAGATCTACTAATATAATAGTTCATGATCACATGCTCCACTAACAAGTCACTGTTCCTAAAACAGAAAGCATTGAAAGACGTGGACAAGATGATCAAGCTGGCAGAACAGCAGTACATGGAAGCCTATGGAGGGAGTATAACTGGCAAGTACCAGAGTAACTAGTTAATGTAGAAACCATGGGTGGCTGACCTAAAGTAGGGTGCCACCAAAAGTGACAAGAAGTCAACAGACAAAAGGGAGAAGAAATATTACACTTGTTATAAAATGGGGCACATTGCAAATGAGTACAAGTCTGTCACCAACAAGCAACAGCAGAAATCTCAACATAATGCAGCTGGAGCAACAGAGATGGTGCTGGCAAAAAACAAAAGTGTGACTATCACCATGGGTGTTGTGGCCAGAAGAAACAGAATAGACAACTCATCAGCTTCATCACAAGATGGAAGTGCTATCACCATGATGAAACAGTATATGATTAATAGTCAGCTCAAGTTATCAAACAGGTCAACAGTGCCAGTGTTGATCAGAGTATATGGTAAACATCGAGAGTTGCCAAAAAACCACAACATGCCAGAAGATGAAGGATATGTCGTGGACAAGAAAGTGAAAGTCCTACAAGACACTGGATGCAGCAGCGAGAACCAGTCAAGTATCTGATGACCAGATGAGGGGCTAAGTACATCTGCATGTGCTTATTGATGGGACAGTGAGAAAGTTTCCCACAGCAAGAATAAAGAGGGACACTCATATTATGTGGGAGACCTTGAAACCATGTGTATGAAGGCACCCAATTACAAACTGGTGATTG